GTAGGAATTATGGCCCCTCTTATGTTCCCCACCTTAGACATCGTAGAATCACCCCTGTTAGTGCGGTTTCCCCAAAATTAAGCTCCACGTTTAAAACACAACACAGCAGAGTTACTGCAAAGCCAAAGAGAATGAAAGTAGCCGCGACGCCAATAAAAGAAACCAGTTGTAGATCCAGCTCTGCAGCCCTGAGCGACCTTGGCAGCCCGAGGCATGTGCGTCGCATGCGATTCCCCAGACGCCCGGCGTTTTCGGCATTATCCCGAGCTGCATCGATGGTTATCTGGCCGCGGGCTCGCCCTGCGTTTACCTTACGCTGCTGCTCATTTATCCACTCCGGCGTGCATGCGTGACACCTTTACAACCTCTTGCTCCCCCCCCCCCCCCCCATTCCTGTGTAAAAACATAAACAGTTGCTCACAAGAGAAAAGAAAAACAGAAGAGTCTAGGGCAGCGGACAGAGGGTGAGACTAGTGTAGAAATTCAATGTATGAATAAAATCATGCAGCTCCATTATGGATCGATGGGGATAGTGGGGCCTCATTTCAGCAGGCGATCAGCTGCCCGGTCTCTCTGCCAGCCGCCCTCAGCTGATCCTGGAGAAGGCAGGGTGGCCACGTGACTGGAGGGCAAGGGAAAGGTCCATGGTACCTCAGAAGGTTATCAGTTCACATCCCATGGCTGGCAGAGCAAAAGCTACTGGGGGGGGTGGGGGGGGGGGGCAGAGGCAGTATCTCCACAGACAGGGATGAGGGGAGCGGGAATCTGCTCTGCGTCTCTGACGGGTAGCAGTCGCTCTCACAGCACCGATTCTGCTCCGGCTGACAGGAACCTCTTGTTCATACACCTTCTGGCTGCCCCACAGGCCACAAGAGCGTGCACACACACACACACACACACAGACACACACACACACACACACACACAGGTTTGTAGTCATATCTTTGTGGGGACTCTCCATTAATTTCTAAGGGAAAAACCCAAATCCCAGGATCAACAACTTTACCCCTTAGCTAGCCCTAAACTTAACCATAAGTACCCATACAAAATACAAATCTTTTGGCATTTTTAGTTTTTTGATTGCAGCCACAGATTTTTATAAAATTTAGTTTCCCCTTGTGGGGACCGAAGAATGGTCCCCAGTCCCCACAATGCCAAAATAACAGGTTTTTATCACATTGTCTAAAATGTAATATATACATAACCCACACACATACACATACACATGCACGCACACATTCACACACACGTGCGCACACGCACGCACACACACACATACACACGCACGCACACACACACGCACGCACACATTCACACACACACGCACACACACACACAGCTCGCTCTGGGGGGCTGGCGCGCGTCTGGGTCGTGGGAGATGTAGATCTCTGTTGTGACAGCTGGACAGTTCAGGGGTTCAGACAAACAGCCTGGCGAGGGAGGGTGAGGGGGGACGGGGGTGTCAGGGCGGGCAACTGCGTTAAAACAAACATGCCGGGGGTGCACACTGGAGCAGACAGCGAGAGAGGGGGGAGACCTATATCTGGGAGGGACACGTCACCGAATGTGCCAGGGCCTGGGGGGGGGATTGTCGCTCGCCACCGAGCATGCGGCCCCCAGAATGCATTGGTACAGTTCGCTTGCTGGAAAATAGGTCAAGGATTCTGCCCCCCCCCCCCCCACCCCCCCCCCCAGCCAGCTCACGCACACTGCTGCTTGTCAGAACCTCTCAAGTTAAGCGGGGCCGAGCCGGCCTGCCGTCGGGAGCCAGGGGCCACCAGGGTGCGGAGGCGAGAACGTGCTGGTGCCCCCCCCCCCGTGTCCACTGCCAAACTTAACGCTGCAGCATTAAGTTTCCGAAGCGATGATCCTACTGTGGCATGTCACGACCTAAATTGCCAAGGTCAAAGGGGATTTCAGCTGGGGGCACACTGTCCTTGCAGCTGTCTCTGCCAGAGATCAGGGCACAGCTGCTCAAACACCCAGCACAAGAATGGGGCCCTGGACTAGGGGGTGCTGCATCTCAGACTGATCACACCTGAGCTGTTCACTCAGACCGAGCAAACGCCCCCTAGTCTCCATGCTACAAGGCTCCTCCAGAAACAGGCTGTCCTCAACGACGGACGATAGACGACTGTGCACATCCACACCTGTAGGGGGTGCACTCGAGCTGCTATGACACGGTCCAATGTCTCAGGATGACATCCTACAGAGGTCCTACCCAGCACACTCAGCCTGGCACAAAGACGCCGGAAATGACAAATCGCGGATAATAGTACAGCGCTTCCAGTATGGACATGTAACAAACGACTGATGAAATCAGATTAAGCTGGAAGTAGTAAGGTGCAACATTGGAGCCAAAGTATAACGGAAATCCTGAAGACTGTTTGGAAAGACCACCACTGCGAGCACCACTGCGACCACCACTGCGACTACCACTGCGACTACCACCGCGACCACCACTGCGACTACCACTCCGACCACTACTGCTGGGGGCAGGACGGGGTACGTTGGGGGTGGGGGAAGTTGACAAAGTGACAGACCCTAAAAGATGCCACATCAGCACTTCCCGCAGGGTCTTCGAGTGAGGGCACTCCCCAAAAAGCTCTGCGGGCTCTCGCCACGCTGTCTGCAGGACGGACATTAGTGCCCCATCCTCTTCCCTGAGACGGGCATTTAAAGCGATACGACGGACGGGAGAGGACCGGCAGACACGGTGAAACTGGCAGAGGGGAGCATTGATGGATGGGCTGCTGCTTTGTTCTGGGGGGGGGGGTTAAGCACTAAACAGCTTGTTTCCTACTAATTACGAAAGGGCTTTTTACATTTCAGATCCCCACTCCAGAGTATTTGAGAAGCTATCATTTGCTATGAGCAAACCCACTTATATATATGATATATATGATATGTAACTATATATATGTTTTTTCTCTCATTCCTGGTATATATAATATGTAATATGTAATCCTCTTGTACTCTTGTTCCTGATGTATAGGCTATCTATATAATCTTCCAGTTTAATGTTGCAGTGTCAAATGAATATGGGTCACGACAGTTCATCCGAACAATCCTTGAAAAACTCTCAAAATACAAAACAGCAGATGAAGAGGATAAATGTGCCGTTTTTATCTGGTTACAGAACGTCAGCCTTTCGTGCAAGTTTTTGATTATTTAAAGAATGTTTAAGGGACCACGACTTAACGAGTAACACCCAAATAGCCTGAGACCTAAAATTAAACCTTTGATTTTAAATGCCAGAATGAGGGTGGTTTGAGCATTTACACTTGTTTGTGGATCCTTAATTAACCTCAGTATCTGTTGCTGGTAGATAGTTACACCAGAACCAAACGTGTTTTTGTTCTTTGTTACCCAGTAACAAAGTAAAATAAAGGATAAAATGTTTTTTTTTTTAAACCTTTTCTGGGAAGCTATTTAAATTATCTAAGGATGTTGTGAGTTATGAGTTATATACTGTGTATGCTGTATATAACAAAATAAAAACAGAGTTCAATTGCAAGGTCACTTGATTACACTGTATAACACTCTGCTGAGAGTTGATGTCAGATATTTTAATGCAAATGTCAGGGAATCTGCCTCTTCAAACAGCAGCTATTTCCGACAGAGTCAACATCAACGCAAGAATGACTTTGACTGGAGCTCAGTGCCTAGGAAAATGAAGATTTGCGAGAGCACGTGCTCTCTGACTCTTTTGACAGAGGATGTGTATGTTCTGAATACTGCATGTATATCTGTCTACTTGGCAACAAACTGTCTTTCATTTTCCTATAAGGACCTGCAGGTCGTCTCCTGCACAACAAAGTGAAATCAGCGGGGCTGTTATTGGGATTTGGGATGGACACAAAAAGATGTTCTCAGTTCAAGGTATTAGAGGAGCCCAACCTTTGCTTTCTGCTGCGGTGTTTGGTGTTTGGACATGAGACACAGTGACCAGCACAAGACTCCGCCACGGCGCTCGAATAACACAAGTTTCCTCTTGCCTACATCTTGAAATAAATATCAAAATTGTTGTATTTTCTAAAATTCGTATATTTTCTAATATCGATCAACACGTTAATATCAAGTACATCATGAAGGGTGACAACAAAATTAAGAAACCAACTGAAGACTTCACAATTCTCAGGTGGTAAGAGCTGATGAAAGTAAGTTTATAATTAATGTCTTACTGTGGTAAAGCTGCCATCTGTCACCGTACGTCAATGACATGCATCTACAGCGAGATGCATTAACGTCCATGGGTGTCATCGGTATAGGAGGCAGTCAGCGAATAACAGGCTAATTTATCCTCAGCACGCAAAGGGTTCCTAATTCATAAAGACAGCCACTCAACAAGGAGGGACAATGAAATCCAAAATAGCATTGCTGCACCATGCAGCAGGTTACTGCATCCCTCAGACTGATAATGCCAAGAGACGTTTGTATACAAGAAGAACATATATATCAATATCAAATAACAGCACAACGTAATTAATCACAATTACCACACTTCTCAACAAGGATCAGATCTAATATTTAGACGCAAACAAATGAAATACTAAAGCGCATCCGAAAATGAACCACGTACACGGAAAACCTGCTTAAAATCGCCAAAAAAAAATAAGTAGAAAACAGGTCCGTACCATAAAAGCGCTGCTATAAATTGAGATGGGGAAAAATGGATTTTAATCCAATAAGCGTGCATCGCCATTCACTAAAACGCGTGGACATTTATTTCACTATCTCTGTATGCAGTGGCCTTGGGTTTAATATAACCGTGGAAATCAAAGGGTTCTATTGGCATTGGAGGGGTCGGGAGAGACGTGCCAGCCCCGCTGTCAGTAATAGTTAACCCACCGAAGCAGCGCTGCATATACCCGCGCCAGTCGCTCATGCAATTAACAATGTGCAAGCCACTAACGCTCCCATTTACTCTTATTTATTAATCAGTATGACCGGCAATTTATCCTGCAACGAAAGCGAAAAGGCACATTTTCCTCACTCACCTTATGGTATCGATAAGGGGGCTGCGTTTTGTCTCTTGCTCCGATGAGGCAACTTTGGTTTCTCCCTATCAGATCCTTTTTAGGAACATAAATGCACGCACATATACGTGTATTTATCCACACCAAAATGTTCCGGTGCCACAGCTAGATAGTCCAACAGACAGGCGATTTGGTGTTTCGGCTGCAGGGTATTCCTCCGGAAACGTGTGGAGAATAGGGATGCAATAAGCCGTTTCATTCATAGGGCTCTGATGAGCCCAGCGAGTCAATGCAAGGTGTCTTTACGCGTGATCGGCTCCTACTGCCACACGCTCCTACTGCAGCCGGGTCCCCGCGATCATCTCACAAGCAAATGACTTGTGTCGAATAGTCCTTTACAGAAGTACGCCGACCACACGGAGCATTCCTTTAGTTCAGGCGGTACTGTTCCCCGATACAGAGCCCGTACATCGGCTTGCCAGCGTCCATTCTTCCGCGCTCCGATTGCAACCTCGCCGCAGAAATTTACGCGCGTTTACTCCCGGTCTCTGAGAGATGTACTGCCAGACTGGCACTGCGACCGCCTAAGCCCGTCAGCGTACTGTACAACTCAGGGAGCACATCATTTTAAAGCCAGCCCCCTGTATTCTCCGGGCACTCGGCCTCATCTGCATATGGCATGTTAACTGTTTCGGTACGAGCTGTACAGGAGCACTGCCTTTTCCTACAATATTTTACCATTAAATAAAGGGAATATATTAAATCGTGCAATTAAGAGAGTTTCCACTAATAGTTTTTTTCCCACCTGCTTTTGCTACCTCTGCCGGGCAACCCTGTAAAATTGAAACCGAGTAAAATGATCTCCCCTAGGATATCTTTGATAATGCATTAAAACATTTCGCGAATAAGCCGCCACTGTTCCCACTCGTATACTTTTTTCACTTTCTGCTCTCCTGCCCTTTGACTGACTGATTCTGACGGCCCTAAAAAGTATTCGCTTTATTTTGCATAAAAATAAAATTCAAATAGCATATACCGAGTGGCTGGGGAAATTTCAACGAAGAAACTCAGAAAATGAGTTTGTGTAAGAAATATGTTAAATCACTATCACCTATAATAATAATAATAATAATAATAATAATAATAATAATAATAATATAAATTGCCCAGATATAATCTAACACAGAAGAGGAAGAAGGAACACGCGCTAAACACAATCATCCCATTGTACTTGAACAAAGATAGAGAAGGTGATTCTAAAAACAAGAAAGTTTCATGGGAAATGCAAAAGCACTGTCATAAAATATGAACATTGCGCGCTTTGCTGCGGTGATTAGATGATTAAGCGATTTAACGTCAGTTTAACGCCAGTTTCTCATCTTGCACTCGCAGAATTTTTCAGTTTTTCGGGTGTCTTACCTTGATCTGACGCCAATTTGATTTTCCGACTCGAATAGCCACGATAGTTCCATAAGCAGTAAAACGTAAAGTGCAGAGAATAAATGACACTAACCGCTGGATGCGAAACACGACTGATTTCTTTTGTAAGGTGACCCCACGTGCATCGATAGTAATTAAGTTACAGATAGTTACATCTGAAGTCATTCATGACAGCTTAATGTATAGTATGCTTAGAATATTTTATATATGTTCTCTGTAGAGGGGGTATAAAATGCTGAAACTTTAAGATGCTGCTAGATCCTCTTCAACTATTCAACAGTGACACCTATGGGTACAAATCAGTACCAGCAGTCACTCTTACTTTTTACGCTGTTTTCCACTGCAGTAATGTTTCATTCTTGTTTCCCATCGTGCGAGTTTGTAGCACATATACATTATTATAAATTTAAAGTATGGCGATAATAGTTATTAGTATTATGAATATAAATGGTCTCCAAGGAAATACGTGTAATTACTGAATATAACTAAGCTAGCATGCTTACCTGAACGACAGTTCCTTCTCACGGATTCAAAAACTAATATTAAGTTTCATGGTTTTAGTGTTTAGCATACCACGGAGGTAAATACATGGATCAACGCAAAAGCAGCTTGCCATTAACTAAACATGAGATACTAAATGCATGTTTTTAGTAAAGAAAAATACAATGTGTGAAATACACTTTCAGTTACTAGCGTGCCTGCAGTAAAGCACTGTGATGACATTTGTGGAGAGTCCGCTGACGTACTGTAAACGCGGAGCCCACGCGCTGTCATTTGGGTCCCCCGGGGTTATATGAACGGTGTCCGTGTCACGTGTGCTTATAGAGTAGGTTATATAACATAGATGGTTTGGGTGTATAGTTACTGTGTGTAACGTGCTCTTTTGTTTAAAATATGGACAATAACCAAGCTGTTGCACACTTTAAATTGCTGAGGAAGCTGAAACAGCAATGGCGCGCGTGCAGCGGCGGCACTTCAGCTGGAGCACGGCGGAAGTGCATGCAGATAGGTATGCCGCTCAATATCTAATGCATGAGGAAGGTTGTTTTTAAACTTAAAGACAAACAGGGGTCGTTGTATTTGTTGGTTTGGTTTAATAAAATCATTCGGGGTTTAATTATATTTGTTTCCACGGTGATAAACGGTTCCCTGTAGTATGTACCCTCTAATCCGTTACAGGGTCTCGTGTAGCGTTTAACTGTTTCACAGTCCTAATCTTCCTGACTGTGAGTTTGAAGGCAGGGAAGTTTTGTAGTGCATTATTCAGGGTTGCCAGCTCTCACGCTTTCAGATCTCACGATCACGTAAGAAAGCTTACGGCAAATTTCTATTATTCCATTATGAACCTGAAATAAGCGACACCAAAAGCATTGGGTTAGTTTGCACATCCTATAGACTATTTACAAGGCAATAAAACCGTCACATACTGTACATGTAAATTCGTGTGCATGTGTGCACAGACTTGTGTTTAAAGTCTCACGCCAGCCAAGACCAAAGTTGGCAAACCTGTTTATTTACCGTAATAATTTGATTACAGCATGGATAAATTTGCAGGAGTGAACCTTTTTAAGAGATAAAGTAAGCTGTGCCGTTGAGTCCATCCATCCATCACCACCCGCTTTTCCGGGATCCGGGTCGCTGGGGTAGCAGCTTCAGGAGAGATACCCAGACCTCCCTCTCCCCAGCCACCCCTACCAGCTCTTCAGGGGGGATGCCAAGTCGTTCTCAGGCCGGCAGAAAGATATAATCCCTCCACGCAGCGAGTCCTGGGTCTGCCCCGGGGCCTCCTCCCTGTAGGACACGCACAGAAAACCTCTCAGGGTAGCCGCCCAGGAGTCTTGGACTCATATAAAATTGAGGGTACATTTCAATACTGTATTTATGCGAATTTCCTAGAAAAACCGGGAATAGATGCAGCTCGTGTGTGAAGTTCGCTGCAGCATTTTGACCCTCGCGTTGGCCCTTACCGCTTCAGACGAAAGTTTGCTTTACTTCTAAAATAAGAAGGACTTTTTAATAAAACTATAATTTAATATTTTCCCCGTCTTCAAGAGGCGCAATGCGCCATGACTAGGGAGCCCGTCTCTGAATCTTAAAATAGGGTGTCTAGCTAACCTTATACAGTATTCGTTGTGCATTCATTATTTGTATCTTGTACTTTGCATCCGAATTACCACTGAGACACCGAGTGAATTAAAGCACAAATAGGATCTTTATTAATGCAATTAGTGTCTGATGTTGAGTGAAATCCGACTCTTATTCATGAGCTTTGAAGGACCACGAGTAAGTAGCCGCAGACTGCGGCCCGATCCGCTCGGCAGCTAACAGGCCCAGTAAAGCAACAAGGGTTTTTATTCTGCTTACTCTTAGAACAACAGCTGACGAGAACCAAAAACTGGGAAAACAACACCACGCTTGAACAGCATAGCTCTCCTTTCTTTCTTTTTGTTTTTCGCCGCGGAATGCCATGTTATTTTACAGCAACAGGCTCGTCCCATAACATCTGTTTTTGCAGACTTGGCATCTTCTCCCCGTGGCTACCCCGGCTTCCACCCCCAGCAAAAAGGAAATAAAAAGCATGCAGGGAGATGAATGGGTGTCTCAGAAAGCTGACCCGGGTGCCCTGTGCCGGACCAGCACCCCGCTCAGGGATCGTTTGCGGTGCCTCTTGGGATAGCCCCCACGCTTGCTCTGACCCTTTATGGGATACTTGGTTATGGAATGTGGAGAGATGGGTATCATTTGAATGAATTAAATAACATTAATTCAATCATGATCTTAATTCTATTCTACTGTCATTTAGTAGATGCACTAAAGCTTATTTTCTTGTAATTCCCCACCAGCCAGACATAATAATTATTATTACTCTCACTTGGGTTAGTGTTGTTAATGCATGAGGTGCTGACTGTGTATTTTCTCTGCTTGTCTGCTTGTGGGGCGGCATATGGCTCTCTAGGTTAGGATGCTGTGTCTGTGCTCGGAAGGCCGCTGGTTCAAATCCCTTGGTCAGCGGAATGATTTCACCCCAAGCAAGACCCTTTATCCTCAATTCCTCCTGGGAGTGGCTGACGCTGCTCCCTCAGTTGAGCGCTGCTCTTGATAAAAGCACCTGTTAAGTAAACCGGTTTAAGAGATGCAGCTGATGTGGTCCAGAAGTCCAGCCAGGAGGATGACGGCACAGATCCATGCAGTTTGTAAGCAGGGTGAAAGCAACGGTTGTGTTCAAAAGCCCTGTCAACAGCCAGGGGCCACCACTGCACAGCTTGCAAAATGCAAATTAAAAATGGGGGGGGGGATTGATCAAATGCAAGCCTGGCGAAGCGATTCACTCCCAAGTCACAGAGGTGCAATTTTTTTGATTAGAGTATAACTTGGTTATGAAATGGAAGGAGGTGGTTGGATTGATTCGGTCCTGGCTCAATGCACGTGCTCCCCGCCAGTACGGACGAGGCGGAAAATCGGCCACGGGCCATCTGTTAAATTATCAGGGCGCTTAATAGGAGATTGAGTCCTAGGGAGCCAGGAGTCACTCGCTATGGAATAGAGCAACGTTTCCGAACCCGCTCCTCAGGGACCCATAGATGGTCCAAGTTTCTGCTCCCTCCCAGGTCCCTGGCAGACAGTCCACAATTTTGCTCCCTACCAGGAGCTGGGAGGGTGCAAAAATGTGGACTGTCTACGGGTCCATTGTGGGTTGGGAATTCCCAACATGGTATAACATACATTAGCAGCTGGCTTCCGTAACATGAAGGTGTCGGATGGGATGCGCTCATCGCCTTAGGGACGGGCCCCCGCACCCTCCGGATGGTCACAGGAATTTCTGCCACTCCGCCGGACCCGCTGGCCTGTGTGTCTGGCGCGTGGCTGAAATCGATCCTCTTAGTGTGATTACAAACTGAAGTGCAGTTTCACTTTGCGACACTGTTGTTCATTGTGACAAATAGGCGAGTCTCCGAGGCGCAGCTGAGTAATCGCGAGGGGGTGCCGCGCCATAGATCACCCCTGCTGAATTTCAGCACGTGCCTGTTACTAGTGTGGGAGACTTTGCTTATTTAGCATGTAGGTATTTCAATTTATCAATTAATAATTGGAACCTATGAGAAATAATGGCATTTGTCAAGGGGGTTGCCCATTGACCTCAGCAGTTTTCCTTAGG